TGTACACAGCGCCCTCATTCCCATTAGTCAGCTGCCTTGAACATTTTCCATGTATTGCTTTCCTATTTTTCCTCCCTTCCTCTCTCTCTCTCCCTTCCTTCCTCAATTACTGTACAGTTAAGCATAACAAATGTACTTCACTCGACTGTTCTGTACAGACCAGCGCAGCACTTCCTGAGTGTGTGGTAACGCCACCCTCTGATCTGTGTCTTGGACTGCTTTCATCATCACGGGTTGAAGTCCCAGACGGAACCAAGTTTCAGTGCATCCCTCACTACAGCACAGTTCAGCCGGCTTAGCTCAGACACCAAACTGGTTCCCACCACCCACAGGGCAGGAAGTAACGTAAGTGTGGGAGTGCCCGGGGCTGCGAGAATGCTGAGCGATGGAAGGCACGCCAGGTTCCGAGACACTCGGCCAGTTCCTCCTGCGAGTGGAACAGTAACAGAACTGGGACCCACGTCCTGCAATTCTCCTTGTTTGGCTTTCACAACACGCCCAACAGGTTCGGCGCCTGGCGTGTTACCCCGGGCACGGCGAGGGAGAGGGTGCATGGAGTTAGGATGAGACGATGCTCACTGAGTCATGGACACAGCGAGGGTGTGAGTGGGGAGTGGTCCGTTCACACGGTGCGTGAGCCTCGGCGCAGCAATCACACCACGCAGGTATCACGGGCACCTCGACATCCCCGACTCCATTTATTAAGTAAGAAAGGAAAGCACACGTACTCCGGGGGAACAGAAGATTTTATACCAACACGTTCACACTGAGATCAGCTGTCAGACACCCACCAGCGGACAGCTCCCTGACCACGTGCAGGGGACATGCTGAGTCAGATCTAGAACACTCTGTACTCCGCCTGGAGTCTCAGTGGGTCTGCTAGCAAGGACTCCCGATGCGCCGTCCTGCGGTATTTACGGCATGAGTCAGCACAATAGGTCCCCGCGGGGCCGTCCCCAAGGCACAGCCCCTACAGGTTCGGATTCGTCATCGCGATCCCCTGGCACTCGATGATGTAGGCATCTTTTGAGGCATCTCCTTCCTCTTCTGATTTCTTCACCGTGAATTTAGCCTGAAACCAGGAGAGAGCTCAGTGCGCAGGTGACAGGAAGTGCCATAGCTCCATGGGCTTCAACAGGTGGGTAGCTAACATCAAAGTCCTTTTAATTTTATAATTTTTTTAAAATTAAGCATTTAAGTATTTTTTTCTTCTCTCTTAAAACTGGTTCTCTGCACTTTTTACAGTTAATGCACACAGCTTCATTTCTTGCCTTTTCCAGTAACATGAGCGTATGTCCACCTCACAACAGTCTTTATAATGTAGCTTTATAAAATAATATAAAATGTATCAAGACAACTGGGTTTCTGTTTATTAAAATCTGACCCCAAACCGGCTATAATAAAAATCAGCTACTACTTCTGCTGGGACGCTCACCTTTGCTAGCTGTTCGGCAAAATGTATAGCCGTCTGTGTGTGGAGTGTCACGGGTCCTGTTTTTATTCTGGAAACTCCGTTGGCCAGTGCCATGAAAATGATCAGCTATGGGGAAAGGAGTAAAGAAGAAACATCTCACACAGTGGCTAATATTGGAGTTAAAATTCTCTTGCTTCCCGCATATAAACACCAGAAATCATAGCAGCTGAAAGAATCCCTATTTCCTTAGGTTTCCAGAAACCCTAAGAAGATGACAGAAAACCCGTGTCACCCAAAGTCTATAGTGTGGTATCGAACCGTTCCACAGCAGTCCTCAATATAGATTTTTTAAAAAAATTAATGCTTAAGAATAAACTATTGCTGAAAGGCGACACAGTTAATCAGACCAACTATCTGTATGGGCTGGTCTACATAATAGGACAGGCATCTTCCACCCTCTAAGAGTACACCCTTCTAACCGGTAAATCAACACTCTAACTCAGAATTACGGCGAGGGTGGCGTAGACCTGGGCCGGAAGGAAGGGACTGGCAGTAAGGGAAACGGTCTTAAGAAACTGGTCAAGGGCCTGAGAAACAGTTTCTAAAGGGAGGCTGCTGACCTGAGATGGAGAAGAGAAAAGTGTGGCAGGAGGAAAATCTCTCAAGACAGTGGGCCACGGGAGATGCTTGGAAATAGTCACTGGTTTCTCAGTGGGAGCAGGTGTGTCTGGGCAGAGCTATGGCACTTCCGAGAGGAGGTGCTGCAGGCGTGAGTGACGGGGTGAGGAGCAAGGCGAGGCCGGGACGGAGGCCAGTGAGCAGTCAGTGCAGATGGAACTAACCCATAAGATGGGGCAGAGTCACCCAGGAGTGAATGCAGACCCAGAAAAGTGGGGTGAGCCCGAGCCCCGGGCTCCCCAACAGCTCAGGGTGAGATGATGGGAATGTCAACAGTGACAAGCCAGCCAAGAGACTGGATAGAGGCCTTGAGACAGGAAGACAGTGTATCAGCGCCACGGGAGGAAGTATTTCAGGAGGGAAGGGTGACGGGCTGCGCCAAGTGCTGCAGCCAGGTCACGGAGGTGAGGTCTGGGATCCGAGGAACACAAATTCCAGGGTAATACTGTAATGACTCACTCAACGGCGCCACGCCAGGGGGGCCTGACAGTCAGTATGAACACGTACACTCAACGCAACTACCGAGCGTTCAGATCCAACAGGCTCCGAGGCTGGCCCCGGAAGTCGCTACCTGGTCTTGCAGGTACTCGTCCACGGCCCCGCCGTGCCTCAGGTTTGCCAGGAGCATCTCGGCAGCGTCGATGCCAACCTTGTCTGCATTGACACCTACGGGGCACGGAGTAAAAAAACTGCATTAACGGAGAGGCCAAAACCTGAACTCACAGATCCCGTCAGCACGGCTACGCCTGACACTCTTCAGGCCTCTCCGCTCAGGCAGTGCGACTTCCCGGACAGGCGCTTTCCTGCATTTAATCTTCTGGACACTCGGCGTATGACTGTCTAATCACAAGACAATCAAGCAAACCCAAAAGGTGGGGAATCTCATGAGAAAATGGTCTGGACTTTTAAAATGTCAATATCACTAAAGGGGGGGAAATGGTGAAGAGACTGTTCTGTAGCAAAAAGAAACTCAACAGACGTGATGACCAAATGCGGTCTGTGCTTAAAAAAGATAAAACAAGAAAATCCGGCCGGCCTGA